ATATTGCCTCTCAATCTTTTAATGCGCGATTTTAACATACATCTGATACATTTAATCCATTCTGACAAAGTGTCAAGGTCTTCTTTTTCATTTCTTTTTCAAGGTCTTCTTTTTCTTCTTTTTCAGATAAAATATTATGAGAATATAATTGACAAGGCTGAGTTTGAGTTATGTTTTCTTTTCAATTAGAAAGCATACCCCTTCTCCCTTAGAGAAAATTAAAGTAAAGGATGTTTACACGAATCATTTAAGTATTTCGAAAATTTAATTTGTGACCTTAAAAACTGAAATTGAACCTTAAAAAAAGACCTTAAACATTCAGAAAATTGACATTACTTTAAATCTTAATCGTGAACCTTCTTAGGCACTTAACGATGTATCTGACACAGTTTTTCATTAATTAATTAATTAAGTTAATACATTTGATTTTAATTTTTCATTTTATAATTGTGAGAATCAAACCTATTATTTGTAAGCATTGCATTCTTTTTTTTTAATTGAGCATCAATCAATAACAACTTTTCATTCAAAATATCACACACTTAGGGACATGAAAATAATGATAAAAAATAGTTGTTTTTTTTTTCTTTAAAATGTTTATGACAAATATGATCACTTTTTACTCTGTGATTTTATGAAACTAACTAAGTACATGTACAAGGGTTTCCAGAAAGTTTGTGGACAAATCCTAAATTTTCTTAATAATGTCCGGAATGGCAAACGTGTACGGAAGTATCTCAAGATACACCATGATTAAGAAATTATATAAAAAAATTAAAACAGTGCACACTATTTTATGAAAGTTATAGGTGTAAATACTTCGTATATGCAAGCCGCACGGCCCCGTCTAACGTAACGTAAATTTCATAATATTAACGTCAAAAATATGGAATTTTTATCACATATTCATGGACACACGCTAATTTCCTTTATCATGCCACACTGCCAAAAACTAAATATATTCCAATAATTTCAAGTTATTTGAATAAATATTTTGTGTTTGACGTCGTTTCACCATATTAGAACATAATTGTATAATTGTACGCTGTTCCGTTCGGATGGCCGACGTCGCCTTTTCTGTAAATTTTTGAAACATACTTCTTTAGGTTTTCACTTAATATTTTCACTGTCTATTTACTAAGTGATACTAAAGATATCAGAAAAAGACAATAGTCGCTTTATTTGCGACACATTTAATTTTTATTAAGATTTGACTTCTTTTATAAAGAAAATAATCATTTTATTATGAAATCTTTATTAAAAAGTTTTGACATTTTTACCCTGATCCGTGCGCACATCGGCGACCTTTAATGACCGCAGTTTTTACAAAAATATTAACTTCAAACGATAAAAGCCAAACTATTCTGACTTGGATTTTAATAATTAATATTTTGGTATATAGTAAGTATATCTTGAACCATTCTTTTTGACAAAAAAGCCATTGTCTACGAACTTTTTGGACAACCCTCGTATTTAGCGCTGATGGCAATCATAAATAATCTCCTGTCAATAAATACAAAATATTATTTACAAATTCTATATCATAGGATTGCAATTTACATTTCCTTCATGTTTTTATAAATGGATATGTTCGTTTGTGATCATGTTCCTGTTGTCTTCTGAGAAATCGTTGTTCACATTTTACAAATACGCCCTACCTTTTCAGATTTGTAACATCAATGGAGGCGAAAAGATTTTTCGCTTGTACACTTACCCTTGATAACAAAAAAAAAAAAATTTAAATGGTTATCATTTGTGTCTCTGTGATCAAACCGGTTTTCGTTTGGTGTGTAAGAAGTTTACTCTCTGTAAGTAGACGGCGCTAACAAGATAACCAAATGCAAATGCCAGTAGTTTACAGTGGTTTATGAATTTTCTTATGAAATTTTTGTGATAGTTCTACAGGAAAGTTCAAAGAAAATACACGATCAACAGTGCTGTGGTTCTAACGAGATCTTGCCTCATTTTCTCTGATCTAACCTAAAATTATCTGCATATCTATCTAATTATTTACATTTATATTATTTTCATTAATTACAAATGTAAATGATTTACACACTGAATTGTCAACGGATTTTTCCGTTATTTCCCGATCATGACAAGGAGCACACGGCGGGTGTGCCCGGTCGGCAGGGGATGCTCACTCCTCCATGGCACCTGATCCCACCTCTGATGTTTGGAGGTCCGTGTTTGCTCTGCTTCTATTTTGTATTGTTTAATGGACTTTTGAGCTTGAATACTGTTCGTTATCTCCATATATTTCTTTACCAAGACAACTTACAGGAGTAATTGGTCTTAGATTTTGCCTCCTTACTATCACCCTTATTTTTATACACCGGTACAATATTTCCTTAATTATAATTCTGGCACATATCCAGTATAAAAAATCAAGTTAAACAATTCAATATAAAGCAGCACTATGGTATGTACAGAAGAATTTACATAAACATTATACAATGATTCTTCCCAATGTGCCTTTTTATAGCTTAGTATTATTAAAACATGAGTTAAAATATCCTAACAAATCATTAATACTTGGTGTACAATCTTTCCACCCTAGTTGATAATTTTCCAATATTCTTTTGCGTTCTTAGTTCTGGGAAGGTTGGACCTGTAAACCGGTTAACCACACCAACTGCATGACCTGCTCATGGCAGTTAGGCGTCCTAAGTCCGTGATTGTAGTGTAATCGAGCGTTGTTGTTGTGTCTTGCTTGTAAGTTTCCAATCATTGGTTTATTTTGGCACGGAAATGGTGGACATTGTCGTATGGCATGGTCAAATCTCTTTTTATATTTTTTTTTTTATCAGTTGAGGATCATGGCAGTCTATCTGCAGTGTTGCACGAGCAATTTCCGTGAATTGCGAAGCAGCTTTAGGAAGATTTGCACTACATATACTGCAGTTATACCCTAATCAACACACAAAATAGATCGTAATTCCTTATATTTACATTTACGTCTCATAAAGTCACACCGTGAAAGACACGCGACGTACTTGCATTTATTGGGTCATGAACGTCTCAAATACGACTCGGTGCAACGTTACACATACGGTTTAACGATGGGAAAACATAAGCAATGTAAATATTTTCTCTTTTATGTTAACTCTTTTCTGCTTTACAAAGAAAGGGGAGATCTGACGATGCCTTTACAGAAACATTTAATGTGTTTTTATGCATTATTTCCTTTATATACGAATCTTTCATAGAACCCCCCTCCACCCTTCCCTACTGGCACCAAATTTCCTGACTTCAATCTTTCATAAAATCTGGTTCCTAAAATTATTATTTTCTATTTTTTCTTTGAATTCTTTGTTTTTCATTTTCTTAATATCGAACTATCTTTTTGCACAATCATTTACAATATAACGTTCTTTAATTATTACTTCATTAATAAATGAACCATCATTTCTACACCTTTTGTTTCACTCTTTCAATCAAAATTTGTTTATTGTTTTTTCATGGTTTTTAGTAGAATTTATAAAAGAAAGTCTTAACTATCGTCAACTCATTTAAGATTGGGTCAAGATCCGATTGATTTCTTATAGCTTTATTTAATTGTTATATATATATATATATATATATATATATATATATATATATATATATATATATATATATATATATATAATTTATTTAATAATTTATTTAATAATTATTTAATAAGAATAATCTTGTTTCTTTCTAATCATCATGTAAATGTTGAATTTTTTTTTTTTTTTTTTTTTTTTTTTTTTTTTTTTATGTTTTAATATCTAAATTTTGTACCACTCTTCGTAGGTCTATTCAGCTATGAAACAGACATGTTTTATATTTCAATCTTTGTCGTTTAATCAATAATAAAGAAAAAAGAATGTGTGTTTGTGTCATTAATTAAGTTCTCTCTTGTTGGAAGAGATAATTACCATCCAAATCACGGCTAAAAAAATGTTCAGCTAGCTTTAGAAAAGAAAAAAAAATGAATTTGATGATTATTTTAACATCTAAACAGATTTTTATGAACTTTTTCAGACACAAAATTTTAAAAAAAAAAATATGCTTTCAAAACAAATCAACTCCTCTAAAAAGGTATTTATTCCTTGATTTAGAAGACAAAGTCAATGGAGATATATAATTATTTTAATTAAAAATGTTCAGCTAGCTTTAGAAAAGAAAAAAAAAATGAATTTGATGATTATTTTAACATTTAAACAGATTTTTATGAATTATTTTTTTTTTAATTTTGTGGCTGAAAAAAGTTATGTTTTGTACAAATATTATTTACGAAGTAAAAATGTTCAACATTTATAGCAATTTAGGATGTTGAAGTTACGTTCAAAGGAAATATTTAATTTGAGGGGTCACTGTTGCGACTCATTTTACTCTATTAAAATACTTTTTTAATCAAATATCATAAGCCATGCAATTTGTGTACATATTTTTTTTTATGTATAGCATATTATTTTTTGTATTGTTTGTGCAGAGGTTGAGCTTATATACAAATGGATGATGTTCTGTATATTCATTGACAAGGATTATAAAAATTTTCAAGAAAATTTAAAATGTAATTTATAATTTGATTAATTACTTTTGTAAAGTAATTGTAATTTAATCAATTACACGTCTTGGAAAGCCCGTGATTTAATTGTAATTTAATTGAAGAAAAAGTCAAAGTCATTGTAATTTAATTAATTACTTTTGAAAGTAATTGACACCATCCCTGATTCAAGGCTAAAAGGAGGAGAGGTTGCTACTTATTTTATAATCAATAATACTTTACTAACATTGCGTTTGTGACATCTTTCCTGTCTACTAGTTTTTGATTGGGGGATTGGTGCACCGCAATAAAAAAAAATCATTTTTTAAAGAAATCCTCACTCTTTTTTAGATATTACATAACTTCAAATTATTTACAAGTTTTGAAATGTTCGTTCACTTGATTGCACTGCTTTCACGGTAAAGTGGGAAGGCTGGGCGCAATATGTGGTCGGTGAAGAGAGACACACTAAATCGCCACTGGCATGGGGTCTCTCGCCAGCCAGCAGAGAGAGTCGTTGCCATATGGTGCATATGATGACTGGGCGGTGATGGCCTGGAAAACCAGACCACAGTCTCGAGGGTTAAGGTACTGAGAGAAACAGACACGGGAGAGGCTTCCCGCAACGGCGGGGAGCTGAACTCCCGACCTCCATTGTCGGTCCAACGGCGGTGGAGGGATGGCACGCTTTAGCGTGTGCTACCTAAGGGACTTTGTCTATTTTCTTGAATAAGCAATGCTACGTAAGGGACTTTTTTAACGATGTTTGCGCCTCTGACGCCGGTCAGCCGATGGTAGAGGGTTTTTTTTTTTCGAAGTTCTTTTCTCTCTCTCTTAAAACTAATCGCCTCTGGCACCAGTCCACTGGTGTCGGGGGCTTTCATTTTTTTTCTTTTCTAATCTTAACCCCAACCCCCGAAAGAGTTAGCGTTAAGTGTAACGTAGACCGGTTAACCACATCAACTGCATGACCTGTTCATGGCAGTTGGCCTTTCTAAGTCGGCGCCGTGATTGTAGTGTAATTAAGATTTTTGTGGTGTCTTGTTTGTAAGTTTCCACTTGTTAGTTCATTTTGGCAAATACATAGTGGGCGTTGTTGTGTGGCATGCTTAGATTTCCTCTTTCTTTGATTATTGTTTATCCATTGAAACAATCTTTTCATTCTTTTTTTTACTATCAATTTGTATTTTTTGCTTTGTAGCTTGATCATGAAGATTGCCTTCGTGTTATTAGTCGTTGCATCTTGTACTGTACGATTATCTGTTGGTGATTCAACAATGGATATGATCAATAAGGGCATAGAAGCTGGAAATAAAATAGCACAGTTGCTGGCAGATCAAAAAATTGAAGATTTTGGAGCATCTTTGGGAAAAATTGCTGGGAAGGTGTCGAAATATTTAGAGGCTTTTGCACCCGTATTAGGACTTTTTCAACTGCTACTTCCTGATGATAAATATAATGAGATTGAAGAAGGATTCGCAAGGATGGATGCAAAATTCGATCAAGTATTTAATAGAATTGACGACTTGGGAGACGAACAACAGAAGATATCACTAAAAACACAATTTGGAGCGTATGAAAGAAAAATAACGCTGTTTTCCAAAAGACTTGACGATTACTTAAAGTCAGTGGGAAAATCAGAAAACATATTCTTGGAGACTTATGAAAATAAAACGTTTGACGAAAACGTAATGCAATTGTATATGGCTATGATGAAAACTCAATCAGGTCCTCTTAGTGATTCGATTCCAGATCTAGTACGAGATTTTACGAACGAGAATCGTAAAGATACAGAGATGGTTATGAAGAGAATACTTCATTTGATAATTCAGGGAGCCGCAATCGAAATGGCCTATTACAGCCTCACAGGTGACAAAGAAAGATACAATACAACAAAGCACGATTGGGAAGAAAGAATTTCCAAGCTGATAGAACATATCAGGGAAATAGATGAGGATATGCGCTTCAACTACATGGGGCAAGTAGAAAAGGACACTTCAGTTTTGCTAGCAAAAATGTATGGAAGATCAAATAGAGACTTTGCTGACGCATTATACAAATTTCTCTCGCAGAAATATGAATGGCGTGAATGGGTAGTCGTTGTGTTTAACGACGTTCCGGATAACATAATTAAATTGGCTAAGAATTCGTTCCAAATAACACTTCATGGGAAACACGTCATCGTGGCAAGCTCCGCTAAGGACCGAAAAGCAGACATAAGTCATACGAGATACATGTTATCAAAGATTCCTAGTGGATACTACTTATATCCAACTATGAACATGTTTAGCGAGTTACGATGGCGAAACTATGATGTCACTGATCTGTACAATAGGATTCCAAGAAGTCTCTTAAGTTTTGGATCTGAATATACCGTAGGTGTAGTAACGAAAGATGAGTCTGATCTTGTCGTCAGAGGCCCCGACGATAGGTACGCCATAGTTTCTAAAGGAAGAGATAGACCGTGGCCCTTTCCTGTCGTAAAGTCTTGGATCTTCGCTTTATTCACAGATAAAGAAATTAGACCCGATCCAAAAGGAGATGCAATCAAGGCTCAAGAAGGGGAGAAGGATGATTGACAAAAAACTTCCGGGCTCTTCCGGAAATAACAGAAATTAAATGAAAAAGTAAAATTACCCACTCAACTATATGCATATATGACTAGGATTACAAATAATGGCAAAAAACTTCCGGGCTCTTCCGGAAATAAAACAAAAATAAAATAAGTAAAATTACCAGTCTAGTTATTTCATTGACCATCTAAGAGCATATACTGTTGGCAACAAAATGTTTCTCGTTTCCAACAGGCATTTTAACGTTGATTCAACGTTGTTACAATGTCACCACGTAAAATTTAACTGGCATGGAATTTTAATAAGAAAATGAAAGTTTAGACGTAATTTTTGAACATTGAAACTACGTCGATGTCTCAACGTCGAAGTCTCAACGTTGAAACACTGTCAGCTTGCAACGTGAAGTTTAGTTGGAAAATGAAAGATGTTAATGTTGATTCCTCAGCGTTGAAACGTCGTCGATTTGTCAACGTTGAATGGCGTTGCATTTTAGAAAGAGCAAGGTTTATGTTCATTCCATAATCCATTCATATATTTTGATGTAATATAAAGTTTAATCAGTCTGTTGCGTTCCTCGGAAAGTATACATCACTGTACATGAGCCAGTGTTGTGAGACTTTTTTACATTTATTGTCCTGTTGTGAGTAAGAAATGGAATGTTTATACAACCTAAAATTATCATGCCTCTGGAGGGCGCTGCCCGAGGGGGGGGGGGGGGCATGATATTTCTGGGTTGTACAATTTCTCACATCTCCCAAACTACTGGTAAAAAAATTGTTCTTAACATCGAAAAGAAAATCAAAACTTCACGAGAGTTATTATTGTATTATCAGAAGTCTGTAATGAGTCTGTAAAGAGTATATAAGTCTGTAAAGAGATGTTTGCGTTGTGATTCCCATATATCAAATTAAGCATCTACTCAATGCTTTCATCGATTATAAATCAGCTAAACTGGTATGGTTAATTAAACCACAGAGCTTAATCAATTTTAAAATGCATAACCTTTTCAACACTTAATCATTCTAAAAATATTTATATCATCATTTCTGATTCAAGGGAGAACTAAAGATATGACCAGAAATATACCTGTCAGCTAATAAACATGGATTGTGTGTACGTCATTTGTTTGTTTGTTATTAAACGTCCCTCTCGAGAAATTTTCACTCATATGGAGACACCACCACTTGAAAATAATGAAGACAAGTCAAATTTGAGGTTAACATTCATTTTAGGAGTTTTCAACAATTAAGACTCCTTTCTCCCGCCCCTTCCCATTCCCAGACATTTGTTTGTTCATGTATTCAAACTAATATTTTAATTGTTTTGACATAAAAAAAAATGTGAATATATACAATTATTATACCTCATTATAATTATTCTACACAACGCGTTATCTGATTGGTTCTAGATTATCACGTGTTCGGGCCATAAAACTTCATATTTCACGGTCGTCGGCATGCTTTTCATCAAATCCCCCCTCTTCGGATACCTAGTGCATTTTCCCGCAAGAGTTATCGTTCGTTGAAAGAAAACCCCCGAGTGTAGTAGACGTCTCAATACCCTGGTTTACGTCACAAAATTGATGATTAGTGATGTATCAAA